GAAGAGAGAGAGAGAGAGAGAGAGAGAGAGAGAGAGAGAGAGAGAGAGAACTTAGATAGCAGAAAACAAGAGAACCATCAACACGTGTGAAAGAGAAAGAGAGAGAGGAAAAGTAATGAAGCCAGAATGCCAACAATAATCCATCATAGAATAAGTTCTTGTAAGCCATGAATGGGTGGTTGGTGGCAATCAATGGTCGTGGTATTTTCTCTCACTAGGATGGAGTCTGGAAAATTTTCGTTCCATCTCTTCTTTTTCATATAATGACAAGCTATGTGTTCAATAATATGAAAGAAGACATGGACACTAACCTTGCTGCGAAGAGGGGGCAGGCACATTAGGAGGAGAAGTAGAGAGAGGAGTAGAAGCCACTTTGTTCTTGGGATCATCATCCGATGAAGAATTTGCAGGGCCGGAAGCCACGGCAGAGTCAGCAGCCACCACTGCCTGAGCCTTCGCACTCTCCTCTGCAAGCGCATCACAGAATGCTCGATGGCTTACGAAGCTATCGCGCCTGACAAAAAGCCACAAAAGGAAGTGAGGTAATATCAAATACAAGAAGAAGGAATATGATCATCACAAAACACTAGCATCCATGGATTGTTTTTGGTTTTCTAAATATATATTGTCCCTTTCTTCAATGGGAAGCACAGAATTTTGACAGAATCAGGGGTGGAAGAAAATAGTGTCCTTGTGTTGTTTTTGAGGATTTCAGAGAACTCCCCAAATAAAAGCAAATATCTAGAAAGGAAATATTATTTTAGGATGAGAAGAAAAATTAGGAACATAAATTATCAAGGGAATCAGAAAGGTGCCTTAATGACCAAGCTCTACAAACTTGAATTCAAGAGTAAAGAACAAAAAAACAAAAGTAAGTACACTATTTCTGAGAAAAAAATTAGGGTAGAAAACCTAAATAAGTGCCAAAATAATGGGGATTCCATGTTTTAATAGAGAAAATAACTAGAATTATGCCATAAATGATAAACAAGAAACAGTAACTACATAGGCATAAGGTGGAGGACAACCAGATTTTAAAACCAAATTAGACAGACATCAGAAGTAAATTTCACACTGACAAGAATATGAAACCTCCTTCTGGGTTCCTCAAACCCACCCAAAATAGCAACCTACTTCACAACAATTTCAAGATAACAAATGCAAATTAACTGGTAGGAAAACATAAATTTTACAGATTTTTTTTTTTTTTAAGCAAAGGTAATAAATAATTTTCAGTGAGATGATTGTTCCTGATTCGCATAGCATACCATCAAAGATTGCAATGAGCATATAAATAACAGCAAAGATGCTCAGAAATAAGTTCAGGATAACCCAACAAAAAAGGGTAAACGACAATGACCAACAAAGGACTATAACCAAACGACCCAAATTTCCTAAACTCACTAAAACTTTCAATTTACAGCTAACAATATATATCTAAGCCATGGACTAGTAGCATGAAGCTATATCTCGACCTAAGGTTTCAGGCTTCAAAACTAAGGCAACAATGAAGAAAGAGAGCCAGACCTGGAGAAGAGGGTTCCACAGTCACAGCGATACTCTCGGGTGCCACAGGTCTTGGAGTGTGCCTTCCAATCAGATTGAACAGCATAGCGCTTAGAACACTTATCACACTTAAATTTCTTCTCTCCATGCTTTCTGCAAAAGTGTTTCTTAATCCCTGTGAGGTCCCCAAGAGCTCGAGATGGGTCATGGTGTACACAAGAGACCTCGGGACATATGTACACTCGTTTCCTCACTTCCTTACTGGTCCTTTGCCTTAGCTTCCATGGAAGGTTATGGCCTCTCCTGTGAAGCTGCAAGTTTTGATCCCTTTGGAAACCCTTGTTACATATTTCACATACAAACCTGTTGGTTGCCATTAGGGTTTTCGGCGAAAGCGCGATCACTTCAGCTTCTGGGTCTGATCAAATACAGTTACATTAAGTGTAAAATTTTCAAAAAAGGTGGTCGATTTGGTAAAGCAATTGCAGTAAAAATGATATGCACACTGAAAAAAAGGCAACAAAAATTAGAGCAAAAATACCACATAAAATAAAAAAAGAAAGGCGTTCTCTCTGGTTTGATTGCTTGTGTAAGTCTATCTGAGGATATGGGTATAATCATGAAAATTCGAGAAAATGGTTTACATATTGATATGTTCTTCTCAGCTCTCCTTTTCCAGTGTGAACTTCTTGCCCATTCTTCAAGTTTGAGAATCTATTCAAGACTTTTTTTTCATGGTTACAAAGATTTAACAAAAAAAACAACTTTTTCTTTTCATGGTTACAAGGGGGAAAAAAAGCTTAAAACAAATTAGTTCTATAAAAGACCAGGAAGAAATGTAATTTAAACAGAAAAAAGTGGTGTACTAGGGCATGAATTTGGGGGCAATATAACTAGGTTTCTCCCTAAAAGTTTTCCAGTAAAAAATTGCAGAACAAGAAAACAAAGATTAATTGAAGCAGATACAACAAATTAAACATTAAAAAAAATCAAAAAGCAAAAGAGAACGGTCCAATTTGAGGGCATAAATCTGCTTATTCCAAGAAAAAGTAAAAAAAAAGGTTAAAAAATAAAAAGGAATCTCTCAAAACAAAAGAAATATGTTACGATGGGGGAGTCAAGAGTGTTCATCTAAAGCAGAATGTGGGGATGTTAGGGTTTCAGAAAAGGGAAGGCTGCCATTAGGCATTTTTGGGATATTAGAGATAGACGAAGAGCAAATATTGAAGGCGAATGTGTGTGATTTGGGATTTTAGAGAGCTCAATATCGTTACCAAGTGTAACAGGTAACCTAGAGAGAGAAGAACAGAGATTTTTTCTCAGGTTTTTAGAGAGAGAGAGAGAGAGACAAGTACCAGGCATTCCAGGTAGGTTTCGCTTCTTCTTCGTGGTAGCGGCCACCATGGTCTGGTTCTGGTTTTGCTGAGATCTGGCACCTGAAGAAACACTGGCTTCTCCTGAAGCCGATGTAATATTCGAAACCGTCATGGTGGATGAATTCTCGGCTAGTTCTGTTGCATAAACAAGCATCACTACTCTCCTCTCTCAGTCACCGGAAAAAGTTCCCGGCGAAAGAACCTAGCTTTTCAAATGCCCAAAGATAAGGAACGATCAATTTTCAGACGATTTCCCAGCCAAGCTCGCTGGAAAAGTAGCTTTTAATATAGCTTTCACTCTTTTCAGGCCATCATTAAAAGAAGCAGTTCAAAAAAGCTTGATAGGGCTACATTCCCGGTGATAACTGGTATATACCAATTGTGTATCGCTCTTTAAAAGCTATATTCACTGTAGCTATAAAGTAATCTCGGGTCTCAATTCTCCAGCGAGATTTACCAGAGATCCTTAAAATTCCGGCAATCTCAGTCGACAGAAGATACAACACCTACCTCTACAATCCGGCTCTGAAGCTCCAAATACCAGTTCAGCTCACCGCAAAATGCAAAACAATGCAATTTCCTGCAAGCCTGAGATCAAATTCCGGCCACCTGATAAAACTGAAAGGGTTTACAGCCCTTCACATTTATCATGCTCTCTGATCTGAACTTTCGCACTCAAAAGGGAGAGAGAGAGAGAGAGAGAGAGAGCTTTCAGGTTTTGGCATGGCTGTGACCGGAAAATTCTGAAATTCCGGCATGGGTTGTATATTCCGGCATTTCCACCAATAAAAAAACTGCTCTGTAAAGCTTGTGCTCAAAAGCTAAGGAATCGCGTATGAAGCTCGAAGGTGTGAAGGTTTTCTGAGAAAGCAGAAGGATTAGGTATAAGGCTCCTCCTCCAGGTATAATATCATAGAGAGAGAGAGAGGGAGGGAAGAGTTTATGAGCGAGCACCAGCAAGTCTAGAGAGAGAAAGTACTCTCGAACAGGCAAAAGAGAGACTACTGACCAGTCCACGAAGAGAGAGGCGGCCGCGGCTTTTAATAGAGGAAAATTCCTGGAAATGGAAGAGAGAAATTGAAGAGAGAGAACAGAGATTTGAGAGCTGTGGAGTTTGGAATCCAGAGAGAGAATCAGCACCCGTTATGGAAGAGGTTTAGAGAGAGAAAGGGCGGGGAGCGTAATTTTGAGTATGCTTTGCTGAGGGGCGGGTAAAGGGGCCCCTTGTGGAAGTGTATCTCTAGAGAGAGAGAGAGGGGTTAGGTTTTAGAGAGAGAAAGATGTAGTTCGTATGGAGATAAAGACTGGAGAGAAAACGCATTACTTTAGAATCTAGAGATAGAAAGCATGCCAATTTGGGGAGAGTCGAGAGAGACAGGTTAGAGAGAGGATTTATCTCATAGTCTCTATGTTAGAGAGAGAAAATATTTTGAAATAGAGTTATCGAGGACACGAACCATGGCATTGGAGAACTCATGCTTTAATTGGTTGGAAAAAGATTTTTGACGTCATGGTGTGGTTTATATAATCAAAATAAAAAATATTTAAAAATATATTTTTAATATTAAAAATTTTTATAATAGTTTTAAAATATATTTTTGTTTTTAATTGTAAAACTTAAAGCTTTAAAAATAGTTTAAATAAAGCAGATTTATAAAAATTTGAAAATTTAAAAAAAATTTGAAGTTCAAAAATATGTTACAAGATACATTATTTTTAAGACTTGAAATATATATATTTTTTTTATGTCTATACATATTGATGTCTAGATGACTAATTTGAAAATATTTGAACATCAATGCCATTTTTTTTAATAAAATTTTAAAGATGATCTCTAATTTAATTGTTTAGAGCATGAGCGCTATATAAACTTTACTTATAATACATATGAGAGAGCTAGAGAGAAAAATACAAACTTTTCTCATATTACATTGGAGACAGCTAGAGAGAGAAATCTGGATGTGTTTAAAAAGAGCGGGGAGAGAGAAAATGCGGATTTGGGTGGGTTTTTAGAGAGAGAAAGGAGGGGGAGAGGGGAGAGAAAGTAAGGAAGCCTAGTGCCCGCCCTGTAAGGAAATGACGAAGGCAAGTGTAATGTAGAGAGAGAGGCAGGTGTAGGGTCGATAGAGTAAAAAAAGCAAGGCAATGTAGAGAGAGAGAGAGAGAGATGCATTAGATGGAGAAAAAAGGACTGTAAATGTGGTTTAGAGAGAGAAAGAGGGGCTAGAGAGAGAAAGTAACGCAAGTGTAAATTTTTGAGTCGGCTTTATGGCAAAGGGGACCCCCTTTTGAAAGGAAATAATTAAAGGCCGAAACTCAACACAAAGACGCCAAGTCACCGACCATGGTTAGCCACTTCTTAACCCTGGTTAATCCCATCTCAGTTAATCGTGTAAGATCTCATCCTTCCACGTGGCAACCTCAGGGCCCCTCTCGAGCTCGCGGCATTTGTCGGACGATGGCGGGCTTAGAGGTTCCTCTTTGTCGTGTAGCGAAAAATTAAAAATAAGTTTTAAAATATAAAATAAAAATAAACTTTTTATTTAAAATATAAAAATGGGAATAAAATAAAAAATCAGGAAAATGAGAATTCAAAACAATAAAATAAAAATTTGAACACGGATCCTGCTCCTTGCCACGTGTGGGGCCGACCGGGTTGCTTTTTATCCGGGATTTTAATTTTTTATTTTTAATCTAGAAGTAGTAATTTCCTAAACTACCCTTAGTCAATTCGAAAAAGACAAATGCGCCGTCTTTTCTCGAAAATGTCGTCTTTGCCCATGGCTCCATTTTTTTGAAAAGGCAAATTTGTCATGTGTAATGTGTTGGCTGTTGAATCCCTCTAATTTAGGGTCAAATCTCATAGAATATTTCATAAGTGCCCCAAAACGAGAGAGCCGTTTCTGAATTTTAAAGAATATATATATATAAAAAAAATTTATATTAAGTTGACTCCATATATAGAAGAAGTAAGGTTCATTTAAAAAACCATGCAGAGAAGGTTGTTTTGGAAAACCCTTAAATCCATCATCTCAACCTGGGGATTCTTAGATAGGAAACAAAGCATATTCTAATCTCATTTTTTAACATACTATCTGGACCGTCCATTTTCAAGTATTTATGGATTTGGTTGATTGTAACTGTTTCTAGAACTTTAAATTTAATAATTGGGGCGACAATAGTTTTTTTATACCATCGCAAGGCTTTGCATCACCAAAATTACTTTTGCATTATGGTTTTGAGGTGTAGTTTATTCCAATAGTATAAGATTGATACTTTCTACAAACCTCACCCCTAAAATATAACACTATTTATTTTTTGTATAAGGAGGTAACTATTTTATATATGGACGTGAAATCGGGCAATTGGAATTATGCCATTGATGGTCCTCGGGGTTTTAAAAAAAAATTGTCCGACTTTGTGATCCATCCCAAGTTGTCAAATTTCATTTCTGATAGTTAATAAGAGTTATTGCAACCTCCTCATCCTAAAGTTAAATAATCATTCAGTACATGAGTCACACTTTTAATAAAAGAATCAAACAGTGTGCTCGTGAGCTATTTCCCTAGAAATTGAAGCATTTTTGCTAGTTAATTGCATTCTTCTAAAAATTCGTAGGTCGCTAGTTAGACACACCAGAGATTGGCAAAACAGGCACCAAGTCAGTTTCTAGAAGAGTTTTGAAAGAGCCAAATTCGACTCATCTTAGTCTTGCTCGATTCCACACAAGTCTACCCGAGCATACCCGAGTTTGTCCGAGTCTTTAAAAACCCTAGGGAGTGTTCTCTAAGAAGTATGATCTTGACACTCAGATGAGCCAACTTAGGACGAATACGAGACATTGAGCCATGTTTCATATTTTTAAATACTTATATTTCTTTTAAGCATTTTATTAATAAGAGGTATTACAGCACTTACATTATATTCGTGTTATGTGTGGTATTTCTCGTATCGTATAATCAATCGAGTTTTTATTTTTTTTTCTCAAATTTCAACTCAATTTTTTAAATCATTTAATTTTTTTAAAACTCGTTGAAGTCAGTTTTGATTAGACACCCAACAATTTTAAAAGCCAAACTTCCAAAACTCCCACAAGTTGGCTCCTGAGAAACCCCGTTTATCCATCTAAAAATCACTCAATCCATGACTCGCCTGAGTCAAACCCAATCAACAAAACTCAAAAACACCGTGTCCGTAGCCCATTCAAACCCAAAAAAAGATAGAGGCCATTGTTAAGGAGATAAGGGCAATATAGTCATTTTTCAGGGATTTTGAAAAATTAGGGTTAGGGTTTAATGTGACCATGCAAGAAAGAGGGCAGAGTGATGATAGCTATGGTGGTGGGAGGCTGAATACAACCAAAAAGTGAGGCATGTTTTTCCTCCATATCCCATCATTACACTCATTGACCAAGCCTAACATTTGAAGTTTGGTATTCCTTATTATACCATTTTCCTTTTTGTAGGTACTTGTCAAACCAACCCATCAAAGACTTAATAAAAAAATTACTAGTGATGCTAAATTATTCATCAAAACCTTAATCCAAAAAAAATAAAAAATGATGCCACTCATCCAAACCCTAGCCCCCATAAAAGGGAAAAATCAACCTCCTTATCCTTTAGCATTCCAATGAACTCAATTCAGGCCTCCTTGTGCTCAGCAAGTCTCACTTTTGGGGGAATAGAGAGAGAAACATACATTTTAAAACTTTTAGGAGGTAGAGAGAGACACGCATTGACATAAAGCCAAAAAAACAAACTATGAGAATTGCTGTTTCTAAACCCTAAAATATACTTCCTAATCACTTTTAAAGACCTAAAGACAACACAAATTATTTGGTAAATGATGACTTCGATGTGGTAGAGAGAGAGAAGCATGCAATGGGATGAAAATAACGTGCAAAAAAAACAATAAGAATTGGAGTTCTCATTCCTATCCTATATAGCATTATCACTTTCAAGGAATCTATTTAGCATGGTTGAGAAAGAAACATCCCAACCAAGAAAAATAGGAGGGGCAACATGAAAAGGAAAGCAAATAATGTAATTCAAGTTTCGCATTATCATTGTTCGACAAATCGACCGATTCGAATTGGAACCAGTAGATTGGATCAGAAGCGAGACCCTTCCGATCCTGATTAACCCCAGTTTTGGGGGAGCTGAGGTAGGACCCCCACCCAAATGCCCGAACCATGGTTGAAATTCTTACTCGTCGGACGGTTTATGGCCAACCGGATCGGTTTCTGAAATATCAGGTGTAATAACATAAAAAACGGGCATTATGACAAAGGAGGCTGTTATTTGATGTAGAAATGGACCCGTGACTCACGGGCTTGATTTTTATTCGGTTTTCTTATTTTTACAATTTTTTTCAGTCTTTTATAGTCAATTATTGACTGAAATAATTGAATTTAATGTATAAATCAAATAATTTGCAATTGAAAAAAACATTAAAAAAAAAAATCAAAATTTTGAGCTTGTTTTTTTGTTCGTTCTTCATAGTATTGAAAAAGTTCATCCCAATGATCGATTTTAAGCTCTTTTTTTTATTTCTCAGTCAAAACTTGGGCCTTTTATAGATCAAAGGATTGCTCACAAGGTTTCAATCCTAATTAGGTCGAAAAGAGCCTTTTTGGTGCTTGATTGTTAGAGTTTAGGACTGGGACTCAGTTTTTTTGTCTATAAATTGAAAATTTTCAGCCCAACGATCAATTTTGACCTTTTTTATTATTATTTCTCGGTAAAAATTTGAGCCTTTTGTATACATGAAATCCATATTTTTTTATTTCTTTTTTTTTGAGGGGGAGGGGGGAGTTTTTTTATCGATTTGGGAAAAAAAAAAAATTCTACCAGACCAAACTGACCAAGTTCCAACAGCCCATAGGCGGTTGACCGGTCCGGTTCGATCTTGCGAACACTGCCCCTTATACAATCACCATTGGGGAGTTCTAAAAACTAGGGTTTGATATGACCCGTTTGACTCAGATTCGCTCATTTTGGACTGGGATGGGGAGGTGGAGGATATCAGTTCGAGAAACCCCAAAAGAATATCCAGTTCTTTTTTAATTTCTTTGATACTTATAGCTCGATTCAGCTCGAGAATTACCGGACTCAAATGGACATATCATACTCAGATGCCTGGGGATCCAAGGCATGATTGTGATTCTCCAATCACTGCTATAAACACGACAAATTAGTTTGGTAAATGAAAAATTCAAAGAGAATTGAAAGCTCATAGAAAAATCTATGCCCTTGAGTTTTGCCATGAAGACGAAAATCATACATTTTGTGGAA